GCCTATTAGTTTGAAGACTAATCTGCATTTGAGTTTTCCTAACCTCAAAGTGGTATTCTAAGAGAAGTATTTATTGACAAGAACAACAAGCAATCTACATTTTCCAGTTTAACATATTAAAAAGAAACTATCAAGAAACATGAAGCAAAAATGTGTTTGCCTTTTTGTTTCTTTTCTAATTGAGTGGGAAAAAAACCACCTTGACCTAGGGGAGCTTAAAAGCTGTCATTCTCAGAGTTTTTAATTTGTCAGTCTGGTAGACACTGCATTTCATGAAAGCAGTAGTTAAATGCATGTCACCGTCTTTGCCGTTTTTGGAACATTACCAGTTATAGTCTTGTTGAAGAAGTTTTATTAGCTTTATGGTCAGCTGGCATTGCCCATGTGAGTTGGTCTGCATGCACACTCCCTTTGGAGATTTACGTTTACATGTTAGCAATGCCTATTGCTAACAGCGGAGCCTAGGTAGTAGCACTGCTCTCTCCTAATGGGAATATCAAGAATCTGGTATTTATTTAGAGGTATTTATTTTAACAATTACGTTTTTTTGCATGATTTTGGTGATGGTGAACCAGATGGGGAACATCAAAGAGCAATGGCATTGTTAGAGTTGCTTCCACAAAGGACAGACTTTTTGAAAAGAAATATGTGTGCTGTGCTTCCACTGTCAAGGGAAACAGGAAGCTGGGACACTGCCGGTGAGCCTTGCTCTTTGTACCATCATCGTGACATTCTGCACTAGCATCTGTGTTGCTGTTGATGGTGTTTACTTTTAAACTATTCATTAGCTGCTCAGAACATCAGTCAGAGCAGAGCAGGGTTGCTTCAATATACAGGTTATGCAATAGTTCATGAAATCTTTTCTTAGTATGTGCTGTCCTTAGAGGGTTACTTAATTGCTTCTGTGATTAAAAATAAAATAAACTAAATTGCTCCATCTGCTCTTTTAAGGAAAAAAATGTGTTGTCCTAGTACAGACCTGGACATAAAACTGAGACATAGATATCTCTTATATACACCAAGTTGAGGATCACAGTACATGCTTCATGCTTTTCACTTTTTCAAGTGAACAACAGATAACTTTGTATTTTAGCATGCTTTTGTACCTAAAAGGTATCATTACATTTCTGTGATTTCTATCCTTTTCCAGATGATATGCTCAAGGCTTAAATTACTTCTCCTCCAAAATAAGTTCAAAAGAGAAATATTGTTAGAAGAATGACTTATTTCCATTGCCATATACAAAATGAAGACAGTATAAGTCAAATTCTAGATGGACAAATGTTTTATCCGCATCTTGTTCAAATTTCTTATTCAAGGTAAATTATAAGTAGTTCAAAATGGTTAGTTGATACTTACTTCTCAGGTTTTAAAAATCTGTTATGAATTACAACAGTGTGTGTTCCAGGTAGTTAGGTAAAACATATTAATAAATGGTTAGTTAATTGTTACTGATTATTATGATATTAAAATATTTTTTTAAATAGCATTTAAAATAAATTATTAAGCCTTTCCAGTGTAAATATAATATAGGGGGAAACAAGAAGTGCTGAAAGACTAACACAGAGTATTAAAAAAAATCTCAGTTCTGGAATGACACTATGTTTGTTTAATTTTGTACATTAGTTTAAAAGCAATGACAATTAAGATGAAAAGAAATAAGAGAGTGAATCTGTGCAGAATAGATCTCAGGTATATGAAAGTGAATAGGATATTCATGTTCTCTCTTCCCAAGAAAAAGAGAGCCTGGCTTCTTTATCCTCAGTGTGGCTGCAAGGAAAAAGGACATAGTTTTAGCTTTGCCTTTTGAAGTACAAAACATTTCTAAATCCCAGGGGAATGTATGAGAGGTAACACCTAATCCCCTGGGACCAGGCTAATGGTTCATAATCCTACCAGTATGGCTGACACCTGAGCCTGCTCAGAAAATGCTCACCAAAAATCCTGCCCTGCTTCTGCATGAAGTCATCCTCAAGCACTGAGCTAAGCCCTTAGATGGGGCCCAGATTTCATGTCCGAAATGTATGGGAACTTACTCATCGTTTAGGTACAGGTGATTAGTCTTCTCTTTAAAAGTATATATATATATATTTAGTGGAAGCCACCTTTTGTAGAGTGGCCGAGATGACAGCTCATACGCAGAACCAGGAGTCCTGGGCTCAGCATCCTTCTCAACCCCTTTCACCCCTCTGAGCAGTGACTGTCCCACCAGGACGCCTGGGCTCCACCTCAAGCCCCAGCCCATGGCACGTCACGGTGTCACACAGGGCTGTGATTGCTTCAATACAAAGATTCCCCGCTTTGGCAGCACAGCCCCAACCTTGATTCCTGACCTCAGAGCAGCTCGGGAGTTTGTGTTAGGGAGTGGCTGGAAGGGAGCAGGGCTGGAAGCCTCCCAGGGCAGCGCTTCTCTGAAAGGGAACTGAGTCATGCTCCCTTTTTGTTTGCCATCTCTGTAGCCCTATGAATTGTGCATTTCTTTCCACACAGTGGCACAGCTTCAGCTACGACTCCCACCGCAGTTTTTGCTTTGAGCCTGGTTGCTAGGAGATGGCAACTCTGAGTTCAGGTCCCCTCCTCACCACAGCTAGCAAAGACCTTGCGTCCCAAATTTTCTGCCTCTTCACCATGTATTGCAACACGGAGCTAGAACTTGGGTCTCCCACTTCTTGGCTGTGAGCTCCAGCACATGGATTGATATGTACCCAGGTGCACCAAGCACCCTTGCAATGCCCTCTGGCCGGGCTCTGCTTGCTGTGCTCTGCTGGACGCTCGGTGCATCAGCCCTGCAAGAAACTCACTGTTAGGTTTTCAGCGCACTGACTGGAGGGGCTCTGGAGGACATGTAAATTCAGGGACAACAAATTTGTGGTTTCCAGACAGTCAAGGTAAGGAGACAGGCCGTGAGATACTCTCCTCACCTATCGGAGTTAGGCCTCTTTGCATTGTACCCCTTGAACATAGTCCAGCCCTTGATAAATTTGCAGAAGATCTCTTACTGATCTTCATGAGGATAAAATAAGGCTCTTAGTGAGTCTATGGTAGGAAGTATCATCTAGTTTTAGACATAAGGATACAGAACATCTCAGCCTTGAGAATGTTAAAGCTTTGGATGATGAGTTAAGCTTTGTTGCCAAGATAGAGCTTTACTGTATAGCTTATGTATAATTTCTCAAAGAAAATCATACACTTTCTCTTATAAGAGACAGCAATGACCTTTGGAGATAAAAGGTAAGTGATAATAAAATTGAATTCCCAGCAAAAATATATTGCCATTTCGGCCCTTTGTTTAAGCCTGTTATTACTTAAGAAAATGCTTAGGAGACCAGTTTGGCCAACCCTGTTAAAAATGCAAAGCTTTGCCTCAGCTCATATTAGTGCCCAAGAGGCCCCATTCTGATTGTTTATGGAATTAATTATTTGATGGTTCAGTGTTCTGTATTAAATATTAAAATTTCTGTTAATAATATATATGACTTCTGAGTCATCTCAGTTGCGCCCAAGTCTCTTTCACCAATAAATATCTACAAGGCAGGGATATCTTCATCTCAGAAATGTTGGTAGTGTCTTATTTGAGAGGTGGAACCAATGTCTGCTCCTAATGCAAGCAGGAAAGCTGCTTCAGAACCCTTTTTGCTTCAACACAGAGACTGGACACTGTTTAAATTGGTTTATCTCTCTGTGCTAGTTTATACATTCTTATTTTTAAGTAAACATTGTAAACAAGGTTTGAGATATTTTATAGCATTCTTAATAAGGTTGATATATTTAGCAACTGTAAAAGGGTTGTGCAGAAGAGAGAGACATAAAATGGACAAAATCTTGCACAAAAGGGAGATAATTCTAACAGATCATTTTCCAGTTACCTACTCTGTAAAGGTCTGCAAATATTCTCACCATTATTTTTTTAAATACAGATCTTCTGTAAATCCATTTTATTTGAAATCACTGAAATATATTTTCATCAGGTGAGAGTGTAAAATCAGGCCCATAAAAAAAGTCTACAGTTAAAAGAAACAAAGAAGAAGTTCAAATACATTTGCAGACTAAATCAGAAATTCTGGCACTCAGGTCCCTGCGGTGGGCTGAGCAGCCACACACTGATAGTTTTCCTTGTTTCCAACTACTAAAACACATTAAATCTTCTCTTAATGCTTTTGTTTTTTTCACCTGTGTCATTACTAAAGTTGCCACAGGGCCATTCTGTGATCGTGAGTGGAGGTGAGGTGAGGTGCTCTAAGCAGTAGCTATGGTAAGTGTAGGTGGGGAAAAATACACTTTCACCTGAAACATGATCTGCTGCAGGGGAAAATTAGAGAGCTGCGCTAAATCCTGTTAAGTATTATGCAGGCGTCTAGGAGGCAAACAGGGAGCATTGAGGGGAACTTCTGGTGTACAGTCGCTGCTCATACACTGGTGACAAATGCTTTCAAGTCATGATTGTAAAGGCATCCCTGCCACTTGGCCCTTGTGTGGATGGACTCTTACTCAGCCCTCTGCAAACATAGGAAATTCCATTCCTCTATTCCTTCAGTCATTTCTGAGGTTGATACATCAAAATAAGTAGTTGGTGCATTCTGTATTGGTTTGTCTTACCGAGAAAGATACGATTCTCTGGCTCAGAAGAGTCACTCCTGTACTCAGAAAGTAAAGGCTTTTTTCTATCCTTTCTCACGCTATTTCTGGACAGAGTTGGGTTTTGCAGAAGACCGTAAGTGCTTCAGGGTGAGAGGATGCATCTTCTCTTTTGAGGAACAGTCTGGTTGGCTTGTGGAGTACAAGTAAATTAATATTCTCAGATTTATAGGAAACCTGTATTCTTGCTTATTTCCATTGTTTCTTTTCAGCTGATATTTGGTCAATCAGAACCACATCTGTGCTTGTTTAACATGTATTATACTTTTCTGAAGGCAATAGATGTGGAATCTTAACAATGGAAAAGACTTTCTCATGCAAGGTGAAATGTAACAATAACTCAAAACCTTTCCTTGTTTTTGCAGGACGAGGCTGCTCCAGCTGACAAGCAGTACAAACAGGAGCCAGCCCAGGTCACTTACTCAACATCAGCTGTTTCCAGCACACAGGAGGTGTTGTACATCAATGGCAATGGGACCTACAGTTACCATAGTTACAGAGGGCTCGGAGGTGGGCTGCTAAATCTCAACGATGCTTCTAGCAGTGGTGAGTTTCCTTACAATATGTGCTTCTGTGTATATGTGCTTGTGTGTACGTTTCCCCCTGCTGTACAGAAAGCTAGTCCAAGGGGTTCGATATCCGTAGGCTATTATCAGATAATGAGCAGGAGCACAATCCCGCAAACAGCTACTGCCGAGCAAAATACTTGCTCACTGCATGCAAGTCTCCTTTCAGTTTCAAGGGACTAATTTACAGTCGGGCGAGTCTGAACCTGAAGTCTCTAACAAAGCTGAGTAAAAAAATGCCGTGTTAGATCTTCAGTCAATTTGCATGACTTTATGAGCACCTACCCTGTCATTGTTGTCCCCTCTTATACTGATCACAAAATAAGGCCGTTAGTATCTTTGTGGCTGGAGTTTGAAAATACTGAACTCCGTATTTCGTAACACAAATGAATTGACCTAGATTTCTCACATGGTCTCTCTAGCTGCTTTAATTTACTACAGATTAGGATCTGGCATACCAAGTGTTAAATGAGAAATCAGCATATCCACCTATAGTCTAAACTAAAAGTGATGCAGATAATTATGTGTCACCATGAGGTGGTATGCCCTGCTGAAAAAACGATGGTGTCATTTATTTGGACAACACTCCTTTCTTCTTACATTAGCAAGCTTTTGTAACAAACAAATGTAAGTGAATTGTATTATTTGTTTGAAATAGTCCCCCATATTGATATCCTACAAATTCAGAGCAGAGGAAAAGGTTTGCCGATTCTGATAACAAGGGTTATTGTCTGTCTGTCAGAGAAAAGTGATTACTCTGGATGCCTGGAGGGTCTCTTGCCTCCAAGAACGGTATTTAAAAAATGTCTCAGAGGATGGAGAAATCCCTGGGTTTTTGTCTTGGCTGATCCCTCTCTGGCTGAGGAGAGTGCTGCTTCAGGTACATGGGCTGACTTAAGCAAGATGGTAATTGTTTAGCTACAGCCTCTATATTCAACACGCTAAGCAATTTTCAAAGCGCTATCAGGGCTGCAGCCTGCAAGGAGTTATTGGTATGTGGTGTCCTGGTGACCTTCAGTCATGTCTGCTTCCTCATCCCTCAGCCCCAAAATCCTCAAAGGTCTGTGAATGGTTTGCATTATGTTTTCAAAAGGCTTTGAAACATATTTTAGTTGTCAAAAGCCTTTGACTTAAAGAGAGTGAATGATGATTACAATTGTTTTCATATGCAGGAAAAACACATTTGAGGTACTGAGTATGATCTCCGATCAAATATTTTCATAAGAGTAAGACAGGCCATGGAAATCTAGTTTCTTGGGAAAACACACAAGAACTTTAAAATTGTCTTTTACATTGTAGCCAGAGAAGATCCGAGCCAGTTCCCACTGAAAACAGTTGGCATTTACTCTTTCACCCAGCTAAGAGTAAGATTAAACTCCCCATGTGTTATTTGTCAGCAGAAGCCATCAGAATTGTCCTGTTTTACATAATCTTAAACTATGAGGAATCACAACTGTTTTGTGTACTCGTTCTTCCCTTCAGACCTCTTGTAATAGGATACATTTTCATAACTCCCATTTTTCAGTGAATTGTGGAATTTAGGCAAAAGTATTCTATGTCACTTCAGCATGCAATTTTAAAAAGTGAGGTAGAAATTCAACATCATAAATTAGTGCTGCTTTCTGGTTAGATTTCTTTGTGCCCTTAATGTAGAGCACTCCAGTGTTTTTTCACAATTAAACCTCAAGATGAGTTTTGCAGGACAAACAATGGTTATTGAGGAACTGCCCGATGCTGCACAGCTAATGCAGCCAGGGAACTGAGCAGTGCACTGCATTTCCCTGGGTAGCAGCATCCCCGGGGTGAAGGGACCAGTGGATGCTTATGCTTTGCATACTGACATATGCTCAAACATTTCTTCTTCCTTGCCTTTCAAAATTTCGGCTGTATGTCCTCTTACTTTGGAAGACTAGTAAACCATTGCACCTCTCCCGAGTGGTTGTGCATAGTTGGAGCGTTGTGCGAAGGTGTCCGTCTTCTCCATAGGGATCCTACAGGATCCAAAGTACATAAGCTCCACAAACCAAAAGTCTGTGTGCCAGCACTCAGAAACCAGTTGTTGATGCTAACAATTTAGCTGGCTGCTGCTTTGTGAACCACCTGCCAATTCAGGAAGATCATTAGGAAAGCTGTGGAAAGACACCTCCATCCATTTCTTAGTTTCATTGACACAAAAGCAATCAGTAGCCAACCTAATTATCTCTTGGCTATTGAGGGTAAAATGCTCTGGCTCCGTTAGCTGGTTTCCCTACCGGAGAAATGGGGAGACTTGGAGACCAGTTCTCTGGGATCTGTCAGTCCTCTCTGATATGTCCATAGAAATTTGCTTTTGCATTTGTAGACACAGAGGAGTGGATGAAGTTGCAGTTGAGAGGAGTAACCATTGCTCTTCTGATAGACCTCACAGGACAGTTGTTTGCAATCATTATTCTGTTTCAAGGACTCTTGTTCCAAACATGTGCAAGGCTATTACAATGCTTAATGAGTTCCCTCTCTGGAGAATAGGATATTTGCTTGTGAATTGTTGTCAGGACCTAAGTAGTACTTTAAGAATGCATTTCCTTTTCAATTTAGTAACCCATCAAATGTTCTTGTCACGTTTACAAATGTTCTCCTAGTGTAAAAATAAATATACACCTCAGTCAGCATGTGTATATAAACAAATACAGTCTGGTTTTGTGTGCCTGCTAAAACAGAAAAAAAGTTGCAAAAGCTAGCTAAAACTCACTGCTATTTCTGGACCTTCCTCCACATTCATATAATGACTATGTCCAATTAGCTCTCCTATCTCGTAGTCCAACTGATGCGTGTATTTTGTATGCTGTGACTCATTTGATTTGGTTATTATTGGCAAATGTATTTTTCTATTACCCTATAAAATTCATCCCTATTCTGATCCCATCTTACAGACTTAGCTATCTGCTTGCCCAACAGTTTGGTGTCTCTGGCTCAGGGACCTCTCTGTACCTGCTGTTGCAGTGTTTCCCTCCTCAGCCTGTCCTTCCATATAGCTAATTACAGAACCATAATTAGCTCCTTACACAACTGTATGGGGCAAGCCTTCGTGCAACTGCTCAATATGAGCAAGCAGAATGCAACAGCTTGTACAGTGACCCTTCCTTTATTGTGGGCAGGAAAAAAGCACAGCAGGAAAAGGCTTGAGCTTACAGCACCAAGGTCTTTTTCCCTTGCTTTTAAACCGTTTAGGCCAAACCAGCTCAGCTGGAAAGCTTCACTCCATCACCAAGCAATCTGTGGATTGACAGAGCCTCTGTCAGCCTGTATGTGGGCTGGGGAGAAGCCTTTGGGTGTGTTGTTCTTGGTTCTTGTAGATGTTAAAGTAGAGTTGCTCTTTGAGAAGGGTGGATTTCCATGACTCTATTTTTTAAGGCTAATGCAGTTCCTGCTACAGAATTGAAAATATCCAAGGTGGAGTAGCCCAGTGGATGTAAACAAAATTTCCTTGTCAGCTCCTAGCCAACCACAAAGGCTCCAGCTGGCCCTGCTCCATCACACCTGAACCAAGCTTGGAGGGATGCCCAGCTTGAGGGCAGGAGGCAGGCTGCTCTGTTGGGAGCAAAATCTCTTGCTGTTGCCAGAAGTTGTTGATGTCCCTGCATGCTGCCTGAGCCTATCCCGACAGAGTGGGATCACCCTGTCTCCCCACGTGTTTCTGTCCAGTGAGTCACCGTCATCTCCTGATGACTGTCAGCACTCTCTGAAGCCAGGATGAGCTTGTTGGAGCCTTGCTCTCCACAGCCACTTTTTTTCCTGAAGTCCATTTTCCCTAAGAGGTGTGGAGAGTGTTTCTGCTGCCATTGCTGGGTTTCCTGGAGGTGATTTGGGGCTGTTCTGCATTGTTGCCCAGTTTTCTAGGCAGAAATTTCAGCCATTTCCCTTTGTGTGTGTAAAAAAAGAGTGTTTCAGACTCGATGGCAGACTGGCCATGCAGGACATGTCCTCGTGTCATGGTATGATAAAGCAGCTGTTGTGTCTCCATTTCTCTACACAGATCTGCAGCCTACCTCCACCACAGCCACAACTCAGCACTGCATCCCAGGCACCACAAACGTCCAGTCCCCTTCCAGCTCAGGTGAGTCCTCCTACCAAATTCGAATACGTTCACACCACAAGCAAATCTTGATCTCTGACGGGCTTCTCTTTCAGCCTCCTCTCCCACAGGTGGGCCTGCAGACCATGAGCCATGGTCCAGCCAGTAGCTGCCGAACTCCCACCACACCGCTCACCTCTCCCTGCTGCTCCCTTCCAGAGGCCCAGGAAGGCTGCACTCTCCCAGCCATTCCCTGCTTTAGCCAGTCCTCTTACCCATGTGCAAAACAGCTTTCTCAGTCCCTCTGCCTCCTGGTCCTTCAGGTGGTGCAGCCCTGCTGAAGATGGTGGGGTAGCCAGGAGAAGCTCTCAGAGCTGGTGCTGCTAAGCCCCAGCGATCAGCATGACTGTGCTGCTCTGGGGTAGGGAGAGAAGGACGGAGCACTCTTGTCTGCTTTTTCATGTGACGGTAGGGAGGGTGCCTCATTTCCACACCCTCAAATTTGGTGAAGTGGTAACCTTATGTAAAGTCTTAGCATTTGCATGATCAGTAGAGGCTTCGTGGCAATAAACTAGGAAAAAAAACAAGACCAGCTGAGAATATCCAATACATAGCTAATTCTTAAAGTGTTGACTGGGTTACCTGCAGCATGGCTGGCCATGGTGTAGGGGTTGAATGGGATTTTGCTGTGATTGTGCTCTCCAGCTCTTCTTCATACCTCTACTCTTGCACAATCTTCTGTGTTCTCAGTGCTACCCTGATGACATCAAAGCGGAGAGAGAGAGGAAAGACAAAACAGCTTGTCTCTAACGAAGCTGAAGCCTGAGGTGTAAAGAGACACAGAACAAGAGTGATAGAGTTAGGAACCTGGGAAAGTGTGTTTAGTCCCATTTAAAATAGGGAAATTGTGGGGTTGGGAGAAGTTAAATGGTTTGACCTGTGTTGTGGCAAAGGTTGGAATGGGAAATGTTTTCCGAATTCTATGTTAAGATCATCCCCACATTCCTCTTCCCCCTTCCTCATCCTTTTCAAATTATGGGATACCTGGCATATGTAAGTATTAGTCAGCTCCCACCATAGGAATGGAGAGGGAATGTCTGTGGATATATTGGGCTGTATCCTGCTTTTCTACCTTTGCACAAAGTTCAGGAGACAGCCATTAAGGCAAGAAAGGGTTATGCCACATAATTAATCTCCTATGGTGGACGGGAGACATGACTGGAGAACCTCACATAATCATTTCATCACAAACCAGTGTTTGCTGATTGTTGAAAATTCATGACATTCAGTGGCTATAGGTATTTCTGTGTTTCCACATCTCTTTCCTCAGGCAAGAGAGCAGGGGTTTTGTTTGGGTTTTTTTTTTTTCATCTAAACTAACTGAAGGTATGTTTTCCAGAGGGAAAGGTGTAGAAGGGAGAAAGAAGCTTAAAAAGTCCAATTCATTAGTCTCTGTTTTCCTGATCTGAGATCTCCTGGCACTTGAAACAATAGTTTTAGGCACATCTGCTCTCTGTTTGAAGGCAGAAGGAAAGAAATAGTGACAGATGCATAATATCACAATAAAACATTCTTGCAATAATAAATACATCTGACTTGGAAAAAGTAACATACTTCGATAGTTGTTTCTATTCAGTTTTATTGGAGTGTATGAGAATCTAGTACATACTTCTAAAGGCACTCGTGGGGAAAAGGGCAGAGAAGAATAGGTGCAATAGAAGAGATACACAAGAGAGATTTCAAAGCACGGACAAATGGATTTTTCTATAAATAAGTGCCACTGCTTTTTACATCTTCACTGATGTAAAAGGTTGCTTAAATATTAATGAAAATGTAGAAGCATAGATACTTAAGTGCATAGAGCTTTTTAAAATGATTTTTATTACTCTAAATTATTTTCTGCAATAGTGATAACTATTTTGAGAGTCATTGACACATTTATTATTCTTTCAGTAGTTGTTAATTATAAGATAGGTAGCTACCAATGACAGCATGCAATTCTTAAGGGATTTTTGCTCAGATATTTGTGTCTAAGCAGTCAGTAACAGCATATCTACATCTGACCCATATTTTTGAATTTTGTATAAATCATGTTGCTAATAAGTAGTGAATGAGGCAATAACTTGTTCCGTTTGAGCCTTGCAGTTTACAGAAAAGCCATTTGTCCTGCAGGATATTTAATGGCAGGTATTCCTAGCAGCTAATTTGATAAATGATCATCTAACACATGAAGAGTGGGTTTTCAGGGTTCTCATATTCAGCTTGATGTGGTTCCAACTAGAACAAGTGCACCTCACAGGGGAAATTAGATCTATGTAACTGGACTGAAGTGGTAAATCAAAAATATTCCTATGTTAAAGTGTCAATCAGGTGGCCTTGGCAAGAGGCAGAGGAACAATACTTCAGTCTTCCAAAAGAATATAAAAGAAAGGATCTGTCCCAGTGATTTGTTTAACTCACTACTGAAGAGAACATTGTGCTGTTATAAAAACATAGGAGGTGACAATTGTGAGTTATAGTAGTATGCACTAAGGGAAATAAATAAATAAAAATAAGTATCATGTCTTCATCTCTGGGATATATGCTTAATCTTTGGTTGCACACACAGTCATTGTGTAACCTGATAATATTTACAATCGAGATTTTTAATTGTCTTGAAGTACTTCAGGATAAGAAGCAGTATGCTAAAATGTGCAGTATCATCTTGGAGGAACCTGAAACTGCAAAATTCACTGCAAAAATACTCGGATTTCCCTTTGAATAAAGATACACTTCCTTGTTCCTGTGAAGACTGACAGCTTAATAAATAATGTTAAGTACACTAAGGAAATAGTTCTAATTAAAATAAGGATAGTTATTAAAGGAAATGATGGTGAAGCTGTTCAGCTTTCTCCAGATTTAGTCATCTGTAGTGGTGGCTTCTGGAGATAGAGGTACATGAAGTGTCTACCTTAACCAGCTGTTTTAAGCCTTCAGAATAGCTGTGATTTATTTGTCTGGCTAAAGAAATGTGGTGGATATTTTTGAGTAAGATTTAGATTCTCATGTTTCAATAGCTGATTTGCATAAAATTGCACAGGAAAAATCTACACTATAAGAATTAGATACATTTATTCCTTGTTTTCTGAATGACCAGGTATGACTGATGAAGCCACAGATAAGTTATAGCATTTTTAGCGTATAGCAGCCTAGACAGCCTTTAGGAATAAGTAATACTGCCAGTGAGTGTCTGTCATAGCTATTAAAAGCTGAGACCGGTAGAATACATCCTGGGAGTAGTCTCGAAGTCAGGTATTCTCCCAGATATAAAGATTGGGCTGTCACAGACAAGCTTTGGAGGTGAGGTGTAGAGGTCACATAACATAATTAAAAGAAGAGCTAAATCCTTATCCCCACGTCAAGCATGGCTTCTTCTCTTTCTTTTCTGCACTTGGCAAGCACATGCAGCTTCCCTTCCTGAAAAGGTGCGGGTGTACTGGGTGTACTCACTGTCCTGAAACTATAGCCGTGAGCACTTTTCGGGGAGG